TAAACCTGGAAAATATCGTACAGTTCTGCGTCAGAGAAATCTATTTACTTTGTACCGAAAACACAATGCCGATGTATGTCACCTGTTTTGTATCAGAACTGATTTGCTTTTCAGAAAATTTATGATCTGCAATTTTGAGCTTATAACTCTGCTGTTTGAAGCGTATTGGTGCTCGTTTAACTCTTGCCAGGAGTTTTAGTTGGTCTTGGCGAGAACACCACGAGAGACGCAGTCTTGGGTCGGCCTTGAGATAGTCTTGGGGACTTTTCCCCAGGGCGCTGTGTCTTACAGAGTACTCGACTGACTGACTAAAGACGAGAGTTGATGCCTGTAGTATGGGTAAGGCCTGCTTGAAGTATGGGCCAAGGTCTGCCTGTAGTATGGGTAAGGCCTGCTTGCAGTATGGGCCAAGGTCTGCCTGTAGTATGGGCCAAGGTCTGTCTGTAGTATGGACCAAAGCCTGTCTGTAGTATGGGTAAGGCCTGCCTGTAGTATGGGCCAAGGTCTGCCTGTAGTATGGGTAAGGCCTGCCTGTAGTATGGGCCAAGGTCTGCCTGTAGTATGGGCCAAGGTCTGCCTGTAGTATGGGTAAGGCCTGCTTGAAGTATGGGCCAAGGCCTGCCTGTAGTATGGGCCAAGGCCTGTCTGTAGTATGGGTAAGGCCTGCTTGAAGTATGGGCCAAGGCCTGCCTGTAGTATGGGCCAAGGCCTGTCTGTAGTATGGGTAAGGCCTGCTTGAAGTATGGGCCAAGGCCTGCCTGTAGTATGGACCAAAGCCTGTCTGGAGTATGGGTAAGGCCTGCTTGAAGTATGGGCCAAGGCCTGCCTGTAGTATGGGCCAAGGTCTGCCTGTAGTATGGGTAAGGCCTGCTTGAAGTATGGGCCAAGGTCTGCCTGTAGTATGGGTAAGGTCTGCCTGTAGTATGGGTAAGGCCTGCTTGAAGTATGGGCCAAGGTCTGCCTGTAGTATGGGTAAGGTCTGCTTGAAGTATGGGCCAAGGTCTGCCTGTAGTATGGGTATGGTCTGCCTGTAGTATGGGTAAGGCCTGCCTGTAGTATGGGTAAGGCCTGCCTGTAGTATGGGTAAGGCCTGCTTGAAGTATGGGCCAAGGTCTGCCTGTAGTATGGGCCAAGGTCTGCCTGTAGTATGGGCCAAGGCCTGCCTGTAGTATGGGCCAAGGCCTGCCTGTAGTATGGGTAAGGCCTGCTTGAAGTATGGGCCAAGGTCTGCCTGTAGTATGGGTAAGGCCTGCTTGCAGTATGGGCCAAGGTCTGCCTGTAGTATGGGTAAGGCCTGCCTGTAGTATGGGTAAGGCCTGCTTGAAGTATGGGCCAAGGCCTGCCTGTAGTATGGGCCAAGGTCTGTCTGTAGTATGGGTAAGGCCTGCTTGGAGTATGGGCCAAGGCCTGCCCAGAATATGGTCCAATGTCTACCTAGAGTATGGAACAATTCTTGGAGTATGGGCGAAAGCCTACCTGGGACCTGGGAGTATGGGACCTTGTCTATCTTAGTGCTATAATGAGCATTGGTCTCTGGGTTTATTGACAGATACATATAGGGAGTTGAACAAACATACCAATGGAACGTGCTAATTATATGCTAGAATAATTCCTACCTCGATATAGTCCCAACATGAGGTGGATGTAGCTTGCTCTAAATCAACAGTCTCTAGGTATAATCTTACACGTTGTCCTGGTGATGCTTCTATCAGCCAAATACACAAATGGTTGCTAGGGTAACCGTAAGGATATCCAGGAGAGGTGATGGTCCCGCCAGACCCACTCAATAAACCACCACAAGTTGTATCTAAATGTTAGTCACAATAACGTGATTAATTATAATTATACAAATATGTTCACAGTTTAAGTTATTTTAAGTTTCTTAGAAATTGTCATTAATTAATTAATTATCATTAATTAATAAACAACATACCGTCCGATACTTCTAAACCACATGTCACGTGGCAGCCATACGCTACAACGAGAGGCAAAATGAAGGCTGGAATACAAATTATAGCAATGCATTAAACTTTTATCATTTTTCGATGTCCTGAATTATGTATAGAACATAACTTATGTCTATTTCCATTCTTTATGAGTATTTTATTGTAATGTAATAAATTTCGATAAATATGACTTACTGTTCTTTTAATTATTAAATTCCAATATATAAATATATACTACTACTAACAGTAAGTGACTCATAATATAGGATCAACCAAAAATGAAAACAAAATAATAAGATAAAACAAAACAAAACAAGACTTGACCCAACAAATTCCAGCCATGTAATTATTTAATGCTGGAAAACTTTCTAAAACGCAAAATTCGAACAAATAAAATACGTATTATATTAAAATGTGGTTATATAGACTGTTATATTATGGAAAATTTAAACAATAACTGTTATTTTCTACGTTTTTGTTTCTGCTTATTTTATTCGCCTAAACTGTCAAGGTATAAATAGTACAAGAAAAATGAAAAGGGGCAAATAAAACAATATAACAATAAAATAGTGAACAAACCCACACACATAAATAAATAAATACCGCGATGGAGTCTATCGTACAACAGATTTTTAAAATTAATAATCCGATCAGCAATCGGATTGAGCGAATCACATTTTATAGGGTTCGTGACTAATTTTAAAAATAATCGGAACCAGCAACATAATGGGACACTAAAACAGCATGAAAATCGTTTAGAGAATAACAATGATCCGAAGACGGTAAATGTAAAGAATTAAAAGCTTTTTGTCTAACCTGAAATTATATTTATAAAGCGCATACATCGCTTACATTGTTAATTGTTCATATCTAACGCTAACTTATTCAACCCTGTGCAAAACTCGTGATTGCCAGTACAGAGTGAAAACCTTTGTAAACTGACATCTCCTTACATATTTTGAGACGAACGATTGCATTTGTTCCACGCGTCTTCGAGAATACCACGAACAGTTCTGAACATACAGTAAAAATAAAACGCATTAGGTCTCTATTGAGGAACACACTTGTTGATTCATGAACTTACCGGCAAACATGACTTGAGAATACCTGGTATGCGATCGTAATGCCAATTCGGGTAAAAATATACGGCTTTCGTTGCATTCAATATTTTAATGCCGAAATTTTTAATATTAATATTACTTCTACGGATTCAGTAATGTCGATTTGGCATTGTAGTGATTTATTCATGTACGTAAGCACAATGTTATAAATAAACGAATCCTTTCAACCAATGACGCAAATTTGAGACAGTTACTCTTTTCCCCAATTGCTTCTGCCTTTTTTCCGTATATTCTTAAATATTTCTGGAAATGAGTTCTAATTTTGGAACCAACAAACAAAATTTAAGTATTTTTTTTTCAGTTTTTACTACAAAATTGGCTATTTTTGTCCCAGTCTTATATGAGCAGAACTATTTTGTGGATTTGTGATAAAAAGAGGGACCTGGTGATGAGAAGGTTAACGTTTGTAAGGACTCATTAGTATAATTAGAAACAAATGTAAGTATAACCTCCATTTTATTTGTTTTTAATTTTAATATTTTAATCATTCCCGTTTTGTTTATTAATGTTAAAACGGCAAGTAAAGCCAAAAATAGACATAGGGATAAATAAAATATGGAAATTAAAAACTACTAATAAAAAAATTGGAGCCTGTAAGGGAATGAGCGTTTACTATTCCTGAGGGGGTCGGGCAAAACAGAGGGGGGTTCAGCATATTTTCCAAAGCCACAAGGGGAGGGGCAGTGACTTTTTATCAAGGCTGAAGGGGTCGAATATTTACTGTAGTAAACATGTCTGGACGACAAGCAAGTTCATGGAACATGCAACTCATCGCAAATTATAATGGATTTCATTGATTTTTTTGAAAAAGCACCGAGAATTGCCTGACCCCCCCAGAATAATAAATGGTCATTCCCTAACATAGAATTTTAATCAGATTGGCATGGACCATGGTGGATTGAAAAGGAAAATTGTAGTAATTGTTAATTGTTAATTGGTGGATCATTCGGGTAGTTCTACATTTTACATTTTGAGCCACTTTAAGTTTGATGTTAAGAGTGGTTCGTGTATATTTCATGTGTTGGGTATATTTGTACAAAGCGGTGAACAGTGATCACTGGAGTAACAATTAAACACTGAAATAGTGATATGACATGTGTGCGTGGGCGTGTGTGTGTGTGATAATACTCTGGAAATAAATCAAATATTGTAGATCTCTGATTACAATCAATTAAGACCGATGCATGAAGTAACCCAACCATCACAACAGCAATTTACCAACAACAGAAAAAGTGGGTT